AATTGAGTATCAGTTTATGTGTAAATGATACGGACTATGAACATAATATTTTTTCATTACTATTTAATTTTCTGCGATTCATAGAAAAATTCAGGGAATCGAACCAAAATATTTTTTTTGAATGAATTAAAATAAATGAAAATAGAGTTAGGGTTCTAGTTCATGACAGTTTTTATAAAATATCAATTTTGGGGTTTTAGTTTCGATAAAAATAAAGGTTTTATAGGTATTTATCGGTTAGATTAGATACGAGGCCTTGAAAAAGTTATTATCGAGACGTCTAAATGTAGGAATTTAATATTGAAAAAATGTTAAATTTAATCTAATATAATTATTAGCATATTACCTGTAAATGTAAGTTAACTTCATCGCTACGACTAAGATATGGAAAGTTACCCCCAGTCTTAAGTTGTGCTAGTTTGGCTTGTGGATACTCTTTATAGATATTTTCTCTAACTGGTGAACCTAAGGCATAATTATCAAATACATCCATAATTGTAACAGCTTTTAACCCTCTCATTAAATATGTGTTTACACGACTATTCAAACAATTAATAGTTAATCGTGATGCGAGATCTGATTGTGATAGTGATTCTATCTAAAATATTTACATGTAAATGTATTTATACACGTCGATATAATATAATTTTTATACTACTAAAAAAAAAAAAAATACTTACAACTTCAACCATAAAATCTAAAGAGTCTGCTATTTGACGATCATGGTAGGCTTCTTTGGTAGAAAAATTGGATAACACCATCTTTTTTAAAATAACCGAAGGAAAAATCCAAAATCTAAAATTATTTAAAATTACATTATGTGTAACTTAAAAATAAATATAAATTAAATATAAGTAAATGGATACATACTTTTTTGTTGTTTAATCTAACAAACAAAAATCAAAGTGAAATTAATTATTTATTAAAATTTTAATTTTAATATCTCCCTACTCAGTACAGCGGAGAACTTCCCTCGCACCACCTGGAACCTCAGCGGCACGGGGTGACCAAAAATAAGAAGTACTAGGCCGGGAACAGAGTACAATCCTTTGCTTGTAAGGGTCATGCGTGCATCGGAATAACGCAAAACCACAGTGTCCCCCAACCTTAGAAATCAAGCTCAACCGAGTCCGACATCACGAATCTGGCATCCAAAGTCGACAGTATGGGCTCCCAGATTACCCGGTTTACTAGTGTTAGTAAGACAACATTAGACTGGTCACGGTCGACGAAAACGCTTATCTATTTCCGAATGCCAAGCGGAAGTTTATGAGAACTTTAGATTTGGTAGGACTGCTAGGACCTCCAACCGGTTCAACTAGATTCCTGGAATAGGGATATGAAGCGCCCACCCCCAGCTCTAGCGATAAACTTCAACAAATAACTAGGTTACCCACAAAAAAAGTAAACAACATGCATACATTAATACATATAAAACAAGGTATTAGGATCATGCCCTATTTTTTCCAGTCAAAGGTGGATATAAGGTTTATAGAAGCATTGCCCTATATAAACATTTTCTTTTCTGGATTCGTAATTAGTATCAGTTTAAGATTAATGGTTTTTCTTTGTTAAAAAATATATCGAAATTTTTTTTTTAAATCTTCCATACCGGGTCTATCAAAATTATAAAAATATGAAATAAGAATCACCTTGAACTATAGTCAATCATTAATATGTTTGTCGTAATAGTTTGGAGGTTTACTAGTAAATCTCCATAATTACACAAATAAACTCTGTTATATTAAAAAAAAAAAAATAATAAATATTTAAAATGATTCATTGTTTATTAAACATAATAGTAAATTAAATACATTAACTTATAATCAGTAGGATTATGAAATGTGTTAATTTCTGATCCTATGAGTCATTCAGTATTAGAATTATTTTATGTTTTTTTTTAATAAAAATAAGTACTTACAAAACAGCAGCTTCCTTGTATCTAAATATGGATGTGTCTGTAAATGTGTTGCAAAGAAATAATGATACAACTTTCGGTTGATGTACAATTGTTGAAAACTCTACAAATTTTTGAGCTAAAAATCCACCTAAAAGAAATAGAGTTAAGCTCTAGAGAGAATATAAGCCGATGGGTTATGTTTAATTACGCATGTATATATTTTATTAAATCTGATAATTTTGTATGAAGGTGGAGATTAACTTTTAACTTATTTTAAACCGGATTTTATCTTTTATTTACTTTAACATAATTCATGTGTAATACACAATATCTTTAACTGCATGATATTTTATTTATTTATAAAGAGGAAGTCACTCTTAATTTATGAAACTGTAAAATGATTTCTAAAAAAGGCGATATAAATACAAGGAAATATTTAATTTTTTGGTTAAGGTAAGCGTTTTTTTATGATTAAAAAACTTAAATTTAACCTGAATTTTATTTTAAAAATTAAGTTTTATACTAACTTTACCTATTAATATACATAAATTACTTATATACGAGTTTTTATTTTCTTAAATGATGCTGTCAGAATTTCCATATTAATTATATATATATAAAAAAAAACAAATCTAAGCAAGGTTAGAAACTGAAATAATTTCGGGTTTTGACAATTTTTTTATATTTAGTAAATTAGTACATCTATATTGATTTTGTTAAATGTTATATTAAATGTTTAAAAAACGATTACAGAATCCAAAAATATTATGAGACCGTCTTTAAAATCTTAATTGAACTTAAAATTTGATTTTAAAAGTTTAAAAACCGAAATTCATATATATATATATTTTTTTTTTT